TATTACACAGATATTGAGTTGATGTTTCATATGAAATATGGTACAAATGAATTAAGGAGTCTAATGGTTCTACATTTTAGACATTTGAGTCTCTTCCCAGAGGGCAACTACATAATTATTATGAAGGGGGTGAGAGACTTCCTGCATGATGAGCGTTGCTTTTTCTTTAATCTTATTAATACAGAAGTCATTCATAAATATATTTTCTTAAGGATTTTACCGGCTTGGTTAACCATTCTCTGTAACTTTACAGTATCTTTTTGTCTTAGATTTCCGAACCATACTAAACAAAACCATAAAATATTGCACTTACAGATGTGTAGAAAAGCCTAAGTATTGTATTGTCAACTTTAAATATTTAAGTTTCCTGAGAAAATACAGACGAGATTTGCCTTTGGATACAACGAATTTACATTGCTCCTCCCAGTTCAGATGGTCATCAATTACTATACCTAGATACTTATACTTATTCACTACACTACTTCAATATTATCATTTTTAATCGTTAGAGGTACTAAGTTTTGTGGTTTCTTACTGTAATTAAAATCATCTCCTGTGTCTTGCTACTATTTATTTTCAGGTTATTTTCCTGACACCACTGAATTTAAAATTCTACAGCATTGAAATAATGACATGGATCATCCTTAATAAGACCAATAATGACAGTGTCGTCTCAGCATATTTTAGAATATGAGTGTTAGTGTATTCTGAGCAACAGTCATGTGTATATAAAATATACAGTAATGGGGACAAAACACACCCTTGAGGGGTACCAGTGTTCATGGTAAAGGGATCAGATAAATGTTCCTGACACTGACACGTTGCACTCGGTATTGCAAGAAGTCTTGTGTTAGATTAGAGTTCGCATTCATTTTCTTCAGTTTTCAATAAGAATAGAAATTTGATTCCATTCTTATAACTATTTATATATGTGTCCCTAACCATTGATTTACTTGTGAACATCGGTAAAATGATTGCGGGGTTAGCAAAAACAAAAACAAAAACAGAAAAAAAAAACCTGCCTCCCTCACCAGATTTTATTCTTTGATAGGGTGATAAACTAATAATGTTTTATGGGGCCTAACTGTCCTTGACATAATTAGCTTACGAGGGCAATTATTTTCTGAAAAATTAAACACATTACTCTGTTCATCAAACATAAGTATATAGGAATAGGCCCATGTAATCTGATATTACAATTAGCTTGATAACGTCCCGTCACGTTTTTCAAAACTAAGAACATACAGGTGGGATTTACTTTATAAAGCTTTTAATCATTTTTAATTATGTTATTATTGTACTGTATACCTGAATAATTCTCGAATAAAAAAAAACTTTAAATCGAATATATGGAGACTCCTGTAATCATTCAAACGAATCTATGCGGTGATTTGTCTCAATTTCGTAAAAGTGTATGGTTTGCAGTAGTTTGTGGTAGTTTAGTTATGGAAAGCCAAATCTGCCAAAGCCAAGTCACAAACGGAAACCTAAACCATTCAATATTAGATTGAATATTTTATGATATGAAATAAAGTTTATGAATGAATGGTTTTGATGTTTGACCAGATGACTTGGTTTTAAGTAACTAGTTAGTTTAACTCACGTTCGACCTGATATTGAATAATTTGAGTTTTCGTTGTATGATTTGGCTAACGTATTTGTAGCGGATTGGGCTTTCCATAGTTAACAACGAGGAAGTTCGGAGTAGATTTTGAACCAAATGATTTGGGAAGATAATAAGGTAATAGGTGTTGGTGAAAATGCGACCTTTGGACGTTGCGTTGCAGAATAGTACCGTAAACACTTCGAGCATAAAAGATGTCCACCCGAATATGGACATGACTACTTTTAATAATGATTGCAATGGAACTTCTCTGGGTACCTCATCTCAGGTAGGTCAACAGTGATTTTAGACAAAATCTGTGAGTTTACGGCAACTTAATACAGTCGGTACAGATTCATACATTAATGGAACGAAAAGACTGCACCGTTGATGTTCGTTTACTTAATGCATTTATGATGATACCACGATATAGTATATTTCATAATATAATTAGGCATATACACTCTTGGCATAGGCATAGACCTGCAAGTATGGAATATATATGCCTTCTTTTGACTCAATACTTGTTTTGAATGATCTGAATTACTTTTTGACTTCCTTTGTGTAGAATAAAGTGATATGTTTTGGGTTATTTTTTCAGATACATCGCAAATAGATGCATGCTTGTATACTCTATATTGAAGTAGATTAATACGGTATGGAATGCTTTGATTTACATACATCATGGCACAAAACACGGAGACTTATGTGGTGATGGAGAAACTTGCCAATGAAATCATTGCGGTGGCAAATATTAGCAGATTAGGTCAAATATCGTTAAGTAGAATTCAACAACAGATTGAGTACAATGTATCCAAACTGGTGGAAAATTATCCGATTTTCCATCTTACAGGTAGTGAGTTTGAGGGTATTTCGCAATTCTTTTGCGATGACCTGGATCTGATGGAAAATCGTACAATATTTCCTTCTGTAGAGTTCGAGCCTCCAGATGAAAAGAAAAAGCCCAAATGGGGGTATGTAATAATAGAGCCATGTCTTAATGAACCAGCGTACATGAGACTTAAAGCCGTAGACACAGAGGGTATACATGCAGGATTCAGAACTGTAATTAATAACGATGGGTACCTTAATGCCGTTAAATTCCTAGACCTTAATAAGTCCATTTACCCTGGCGAATTTACCAGATCCGTGGTCCTGCTGCTACCTATATTACCCAAGATACAACAGTTGCCCATAATAGTATAGATAATGTCCTTTGCTTGAAATCCAACTCATGGCCTTCTGTGTCTGAAAGTTTTTTTATTAGAAAGCGACTGAACAATTGGCCAACAGAAGTTCTAAAAAAGATCAGAAGTACTGGCTGCTTCGTTGTTGCCACTGGACACCAAAACAGTGCTTGTAAAGATATTGAATGGAGATGGTCATTTTCCTTGGCAGAGAAAGAACTCCTTCAGGAAATGGATAGTTCGTTACCAAACTGCCTGTTGACGTTGAAGGCTCTCAAGAGAAAGTACATCAATTATGAAGAGTCTAACGAACCAACCCCATTTTGCTCCTACTATATCAAAACCGCTTGCTTTTGGATATATGAAACTTTTCCACATAAAGAGTGTAGCATAATGAATTTGATTAGAGAACTGCTTAATTGGTTAATTGACTGCTACCAGCATGGGAACCTGCCGCATTATTTTATCCCCAGCCAAAATTTGATTGGTTATTTGTCAGAAAAAGTACGTTATGAAGTGCAAGAAAAGCTAAAAGCAGTTAACAGTAAAAAAAAAATATGGAGTATGGTAATGTCATGTGTCGTTTTGGATTACGAAGTTATAAACGTTGTGTGTGATAAACTGGGGATCGCTAAAGTTTGTGAGGGTGATGACTTTCAACAACTGGAAACCGATCTCTTACATCATCCCAATGCTAAGGTAGCGCTTGAATATTATATTCAAGGGCTATCACCCGATGGCCTTTTGTATGATAGATCTCAGTATAGAAGAATTGTGCAATGCCTTTCAGTCGAGGACCCCATTTTACTTAATGCACTTCAGACCATTCTGGACTATCCAAAATTTGATATCTTGGAGATTTTAGCTTTTCCTGAGAAAGTCATATTGCCAATAATAGACACCATAGATGATTTACTGCCGTATGGATATGCACAAATGTTTCGACAGTATCTGTATAGACACTTAGGTGATGTTTATACATATTTATTAATTTACTTGCAAGCTAGAGGTTTCCTAAATGATTGTAATATTCACTTGATTAAACCGATGCTTTATTATACATTAGGGACTGAAATTGTACTGTTAGACAAATGGAGCGATAATGGTGAGGGTGGAATAGTTAGGACAGCAAAATACCATTATTTGATGGGCGATTATGAAAATCTGAAACCAATATTAAGATTTATTGGACCCAAAATGAAACCTAACATAAAAAGTTTCCTATATATGAGCAGGCACATACCTATAGAAATAAAAACATTGTACTTGCCGCTGAGCTCATGGGCAGCTGATAAGAAGTTGCGAAATCTTGCAATTGTCAGTATTACACCTTTCTATTTGCATCCAGTCGTCTTTGTCTTTTATATGCAGGCTAGGGTTGCTTTAAAAGAAGGCGATATGGAGAAAGCATCTTCGAATTTAAAAGATATGAAAGAATGCACACCAATTATTGCGGGAGAGCTGAAGAAGAATGCAATGTCTTTAATCAGATTGATAGAAAACGAGATAAACCCTCCAAACAGGTATCTATAAATTCCGATTAATATAATTCAATTATAACCACTACCAATCTTTTCTGCAACGTTGTGTTAAGGTTATTTTTCTAACAAAACTATCCACAAGGTTAAAAAAAGGGCTAAAAGGGCTCTGATCTTGAAATAGCGATATATAATTATTGGAATGTATGTATGTATTTATACCATTTTGCACTAATTGTTATTATTTTGTGTATATTAAATTTTGAACATCGAAATCAATGTGTGTATAATGCTTATTATGATATATAAATTAATTCAGTGTGATTTAATATTGTTGCCTTTTCAACAAAAGTGGTTATATTCTCATACCTCCATAACTTAATAATAACTATGCTTTATTGCTATTGTACATATAGTTAAATTTTATAATTGTAAATGTTAATGGAAATTATTGATGATAGTTCTTTTATTAAATTGTTCATGTTATAATAATTAGGATTGTGTCTATTTTGTTTTAGTTTTTGTATTGTATGTGTTTTATCTTAATGTTAAATAGGGCAGCTGACTCCTCGGAGTTACAATGAATGTTTGTTTAAGCTACTCCAGGGGTGGCGCCAGTAGCGGGCCGGGAGGGGGAAAGCCCCTCCCCTTCGGGGAGAACTCCCCCCCCCCCGGTCGTGGAGAAAAAGCACAATTCATCGGGGAGAAAAAAATATTTTATGTATATTTTACATATTAGTAGATTCTAAAATCGATTAAATAAGCCTTCGAAACCCCTAAATTGTCGGAATTTTCGGGGCCAAGGCACTTTCTAAAACCTTTAATCGAAGCTCGACCACGCCCACTTTTCTTTCGTCGGGGGACCCCCCGGTCGGGGACCTGCCCTCCCCCCTGCCACCCCTGAGCTACTCTGACCATTGTTATTAATGCAGACCTGTCAACCCGTACGCATTCGACGTAAATCTTACGCATTCCAATCTAATCTTAAGGCCAACTCAGACAGCGTCGTACGATGCGCAGCCCGAAGCGATTTGTTGTCGCGTCGGGTCTGTGTGATGGTTTGCGTCGGGGGCAGTCGCGTCGTAGAATATTAAACATGTTTAACATTTCTCATGACGTCTTAAGGCTGTCCCGAAAAATTTGAGTAAAATATACATTAAACTGAGATTTTTGCAGAGAATCTAATACAAAAAAGGTGTAACATATAATAAGGGAAGATGCCTTTCTTTGTCTGAAACTATACTCTCTAAATGCAAAAGAGTGAACAACTCACTCGAAATCGAGAGTGAATTAACTTTCACTCCATACGAGTGACAATTCACTCTTTTGTCCGGTCCAGCAATGGCTTTTAATCACTCGACAGAACAGAAGAAGTGCCCAAATAATTTCACTCCAGCAGTGAGAGTGAAACTTTGACCAATCAGAAATTATCATTCTCTGTATCCCAACCAATCAGAAGTTGGTTTCCAGCAGACGATTCGCGCCTCTTTCGATGATTCTCTTGCCTTCCATTTTGCTGGCCGCATATGTGTAAGTCGTTAATAATGGATGAGCTTTTGGAAGAAGTAGCATTTGCCAATGTCCATGGCTTCATAACTGATAACCATTTTGGCCCAGAAATACAGCAAATATTTGAAGGTAATTTTAAACTTTAATTTTTAGTCAACATAAAAGGTTTTCACCGTGACTGAGTGTGATGCGACTGTGTGAGTGAGTGAGGAGTGACAACTACACATACATTACAGGGCCTGGCCGGAGTGTGGTACTACGGCGCCTTTTTTTAGCCTATTCTAGGCCTAGGCCAGGCTAGCCTGTAGGCCACTAGCCTGGTCCTAGGCCGTATTATATAGCCATGTGCCAGCCGGACACTCAGGAAGACTTGGTCCTAGGGTAGGCCAGGGACTAGCCTACCAAGGCCTGGCCTAGCCTAGGCCTATAAATGCCTGTTACGGTCTTCTAATTCTAGGCTAGGTATAGGCCTAATAGGCCTAGGCTCTATGCTTAAGCTACTAAACTGTCCTCCTACCTACCTATAGGCCTAGGCTAGAGTTATGAGAGTGAATGCATACCTGGGCTTAGGCTAGGCTTTATCTAGTATAATAGGGGCCTAGGCCTAGTGCGGCTATGGCCTAGGTTATAAATAGGCCTAGCCTAGGCCTGGTAGAACCCTGGGCCTGCTGCCTATTACTAACCTAGCCTAGGGCCTGTATGGAATTGCACAAATGGAATATTATTTTAATTATCATTACTTGATACAGTAACAATAGGCCTATATAGTCCTTTTAAGTAAATGTAAAGAATAATATATTAATTATTTTCATAACCAATGGAACATTGAAAACGAAAAAACTTGTTTTCCCAGATGCAGTAAGGAGTCATAGATAAAATCAGTAATACAAATAGTAAATACAGCACCTGACAATTGCAAAATAATAATAAATACTAAAATAGCATAATTTTTAATATTACATTTGGCTGTTTTTTGGCAACTTTCCATGATGTTCATGTATCGTAAATTCCCTGTTTAAAATTGTAAAAAAAAATTGCCTAGTTCATCGGAGTACTACAGTAATAGGTACTCCAGCACTATGAAAGGCAACAAGTATGTGTACAAGCAAGTGGCAGCTACCCAAAGTGGACCAGACCAAGTGTATGTATTTTAAAAGCAAAATCAAAACAAATTTCAATTTTGTTGTAGGCCATGGTGCAGTGCTTATGAGTTTAATTGTTACTTGGAAACATATCATCAATTTTAGTTTTTGATCAAGGAGTTGTACATTTTGTTGTTAGCTATGCACAACTAAAGAATTTAATACACATTTTCATGCCTTCGCTGTGGATATCAATGAACCTCCTATGTTTCACACAGTAGAACCAGAGGAATTGAAGGATCACCTGTCCTACTCTGCCCAAGAAAATGTACCTCGTCAAAATTATATATCTCTGCGTCATTTAGTGAACTAATGTAAACTAACATTTCTGGTGATTTAATATATAAAAATATTGCAAGAAGATTATAGGGAGAAAAAGTCATACGTCACGTTGCCTAGCTACCTGTTTCGCTGGGGCCAAACAAACCTTGATCGGCCATGTTGTTGTATTCTAGTGCACAGAGTTTTGTAGTACCTCTTTAAAATCGCTATTTCCGTAACTTATATTGCATCATCCTGTTTTATTTTGGAAAGGCACTAATACTAAATAATCTATTTACCATATAATGTAAAGTTTACCTTACTTTTTGGATTATAAGTTATAAAAATTAGCATTTTAAAAATTCCGGAGTGTAGGCCTATATGTCGGTACACTGCCGACACGTACTGTCGTGGTTAAATCACTTTTTTGTAAAGAAATGTACGTACGAGACGATACCCACAAGTAATATTACTTTTAAATTAGTTGTTATGTAATTTACTGTTGTTAGATTATAACTTACAAGTCTACATAAATGGTAAATACGCCATTCGTAACTACTCCAGCCAAAATCTAGAGGCCTAGTAGAGGTCTGTATTTCAGTGAGTATCCCTGTACATGTCGTCTGTGTACCGACGCTTAGGCTTACGTTCCGGGGGTATGATTTTAAAAAGTACTACAAAATGGCAGTGCATTAGGAATACAACAAAATGCCCGACCAAGGTTTGTTTGGCCGCAGCGAATCCCGGTAACCAGGAAATGTGACGTCACACTTCCTTTTTCTTCCTATTGTATTTGAAATACATTTAATTACCCATAGTAAAAAACCTTTGTTATTCCATAGCAAAAACCTTTGTTAAGATTGGCACTATTTTAGTTTACGCTAATAGGTGCCAAATTTGCAATACTGTAGCGCTATCTG